TGAGAAATGAGGTTGGGCAACCACTTCTGTTGTGTTCTTGTCATGTCTGGTACAGTTTGGAGCACAAAGCAAGCACTGAATACAAGCAGAATGAATACGATGTCTTTGAAGGCCCTTCCCAGGACCAAGAGTCTGTGACTCTAGCCTAAGAGATTATCAGCTGAAATGTGGATCAACGTCGTAAACCTGCTCTGGGAAGTGACTGCCGCAGCTCTGTCATCTATGATCATTCATCTCAAGTGCCCTGTTAGATGGGCCTTCTGTATTACCACCATTCGCATTTCAGTCAAAGCTATCAAACTCACCCTGGCTGCTATGGCTCAGTGGTTGAGTGCCAGCCTATGAATCAAAGGGTCAATGGTTCGATTCCCAATCAGGGCGATGCCTGGGTGGTAGGCCAGGTCCCCAGTAGGGGGCACCTGAGAGGCAACCACACAGTTTCCCTCTCCTTCTCTCCCTTCCCCTCTCTAAAAATTAATCAATAAAAAATTTTAAAAACTATCCAAACTCTATTCAAATTAAAAGTAAGCTGCAATATAAGCAACTATGCGTAACCGCAAAATTAGTGCAGAAAAATTACTTTTTAAGGTCAAAAACTCTAGAAAGATGAGGTAAGGAAGGGAGCCTCTTACTATGCATAAAAATCTTCATTTTATTCCCGTCTTTTCAATGTTTTTATGTGAAAACATACATCAGTATATTTCTTTTCTTAAAAAATTTTTTCTCAACTTAAACATTTTAAAAGAAATGCTGTTCACCTTGGCTGTTTGGTTCTATCAAGAGGATCCCCTGCCCTAAATCATGACCATTATGCAGTAGATTCAAGCTCTCATCTCACAGAAAAAAAGGGAATTAAACCAATTCTCTGGACAGGCTCCAGGACACATATCCTCAGACCCTGCTCAGAATCACACACTGTTGATCCCAAGATCCAATTATTCTTACAGAAAGAGAACATCTTCCAAGAAAACTATTATCATCCACCTGAGACTTTTGATTTTAAGATCTAATAACTCTGAATACTCTATTTACGAATGTACAAGAAGGAACTCCACAGAACCCAGGATTAAATTAGTTTTAAGAACAAGGACGTGTTTGTTCTAGGGCTCTCCTTGCTTGGTTTTTAAAACAGGGTCATTTGCACCTCCAAAAAACGTGTGCTTTTTTTTCACTGCTGGGAATAAGTATGTTCAAATGTGTCATCCCTGAGTCAGGGGTCTAGAGAAATCAAGGGTACCATTATATAGTTTCTATTCCCACCCGCCCCCCCTCTGTCTGCCAGGGTAACTTCTCTTACAATACGTGAAGGGAAGGGAAAGAAGAAAAAAAAAGGAAAGGAAAGGGGAAGAAAGAGGAAGAACAGGAAGGGGAAAAGAAAGGGAAGAGGAAAGAGGCGGGTATCTGCCTCCCTGGCTGCATTCTTACGAGGACACAGCTCCGAGCTGCTCACTTCCCACTTAACAGTGTCCATCAGGCCACTGTCCCTGGGGTCTCAGGTCTCTTCCAGGAGGGCAGCTCCTCCTTCTTTTTAAAACTCTTGGCCACCCTTCCTCCATCCCGGCTCCTTCCAAACGTGTGTGTGTGTGTATACACATGTATTTTTAAAGATATCATCCATTTATTTTTAGAGAGAGGGGAAGAAAAGGAGAAAGAGACGGAAAGAAACATCAGTGTGTGGTTGCCTCTCACATGCCCCCCACCGGGGAAGTGGCTGGCAACCCAGGCATGTGTCCCGACTGGGAATTGAATCACTGACCCTTTGGTCTGCAGGTCGACACTCAATCCACTGAGCTACACTAGCCAGGGATAGACAGATAGACAGACAGACAGATAGATGAATATGTTTTATTTATATTTTTAGAGAGGAGAGAAGGGAAGGAGAAAGGGGAAAAAATTATTGTGTTGTTGCCTCTCATGTGCCCCCCACTGGGGAACCTGGCCTGCAATCCAGCCATGAACTCTGACTGGGAATCAAACCAATGACCTTTCGGTTCAAAGGCAGCGCTCAATCCACTAAGCCACACCAGCCAGGGCTGTTTTCTTCATATATTTTCTTATGTCTGGGCCAGCCTTCTTTTTCTGGCTGTTATTACTTTCTTTTCTTTATAGACTTTCTCACAACCCAGCACCATCTTTTATTAACTACTTAACATTTAACTTTCCTTCTTTTACCTATAATTCAAAAGATAGGAGGCAATTCTTTATTGATGACCATACAATCCCCCAAACATTAACAGTGACCAAGGGAAGCCCTAAATTTCTCTGGTTTGCTGGATTACAGAAGTAGTCGGCTCTGACATTAAATTAAATGTGTAAATTTACGGGAAGAGGAAAATTCCTTTGCAGTAACTACATGAGGTGAAAGGTAGGGCACCCAACTGTCTTCTGGTCAATTCCATAACCGTTCAATTCAAATATATTCTTTAGCTTTTAAATGCCTTATTTTACTTTTCAAATTTCCTAATATGAGCACATATCACTTTTATAATCAGAGAAAGTGTTTTTTTGTAGATCTTATAAGATTTTTCAAAAAGTTCCTCTGCAAGAACTAAAAAAAAAAGAAAAGAAAATGTTTTCAGCTATTTCATATGCTTATCTGGTTGTAATTACAGTGACCACATCCTTCATCACCCAAACCAGGACCCTTGTGAGCACTGAGGGGAACTGTGTGAACAATACGCTGGACAACGGGCATGATCGGGACTGCCTCCGAAACTCAAGCGTTAGCCTGCCAGCATTTATCTGCTTTACAAGCCTCTTTCTAATGGATAAATTAGAGAATTCGTTTCTGTGCTAGAAGATAACAATGTAGATAGTGTTCGATTTGATTTCCGCTGGTCTTTCTCAGCAATAAAGCAGGAAATCTGCTTCCCAGCTGAGAAAAGACAACAGGGAAGACTCCTCCCTCAGGGGCAAAAAGAATCAGTGCTTTCCCGACTAAATGGACAAAAGTATCATGGAAGAGCAGAACCTTTAGTTCTATATTCTATCGATTCCTTACTTCCCCACGCCAATGTAAAAACAAAGCAAATAAGCATCTGTGTTTTGTCGCTGCATTTCTCATTTCCATCATCAGATGCCACCACACACCCAGGTACCCAGTCCCAAGCCTGTCTTGACTTCTGTTGTACCTCACCATCCACATCCAACCCAACACCAAATCAAAGGGGTCAATCTACCCCTTTACCACCGCTCAAAGCTACCCTGGTTCTTCATTGCCTATTTTTCCTACTAGATGCCCCCAAAGACCCCAGTTTCTTGACCCAGCAGGTCTGCCAAACCCTTGACCCAAATGCATTTTCATAGTCTGAAGATCCAGATACTTCTCCAGACTATGAATCTTTTATTAACTACTTAACATTTAACTTTCCTTCTTTTACCTATAATTCAAAAGACAGGAGGCAATTCTTTATTGATGACCATACAATCCCCCAAACATTAACAGTGACCAAGGGAAGCCCTAAATTTCTCTGGCTTGCTGGATTACAGAAGTAGTCGGCTCTGACATTAAATTAAATGTGTAAATTTACGAATGTGTGTCATCAGCTCCAGTTCCCTCCTTACCACACTTAGGGCCCATGCAGCATCACTACAATCACTCTTGCCAAAACCTCAACCGTGGTCCTCCAGCAGTCACCTGGCAAAAAGACCCGCCCTGGCTAAATCCAACGGTCCATCCTTATTGCTCACCCAGCTCGCTCTCACTATGACCTCATCACTGGCTGCCTGGATGAAGCTTCCTTGGTTCCCCTCCTACCTCAGCTTCCTACAACAACCCCTTTGCTGCCCAGCCCAGCCTCCACACCTCATCTGTACAGCAGAGGCAAGTCAATACCCAGACATGAAACACTACTGTTCGCTTTTCAAAGATGATCTGATTTAAACTTGAACAACTGACTTGCCTCTTCCTCTAGAAAACCTGTGTTGACCTTAAGCCTTCAATATGACAGAAAACCCAGTTTCGAAATTCACTTTACATGAAGAAAGAAAACAGTAATGTCAGTTATAAAGTCAGTAGAACATGTCTGTGTGAGTTAATAGGGTAAAAATCAAAATGTGAATGTGAGGTCAACTGATGTACACAAAGACACCACACTCACATTTTTCTTTTCTTATGCAGTAATGCCGCAGTAATGCCACAGTGAGGCAAATACCAGGGCCATTATTTAGGAATCCTAGAACAGCACCCTTGTCATTAACCTCATTTCCCACATCAAGAAAAAACACTTTGAAGTAAGCTCTCTCTAAAGAGGGGTTTTCTTTTTCAAACCTACACTTCAGGTTAACTTTATACACATCAAGTCATAATCCCACATGTGGAAGAATCTTAGCACTGAATATAAAGAATGTGTGTCATCAGCCTTATCTGACTAATATCACTTGCCCAGATAAAACTACCTCTGTCTTGGATGCTGCTGCTATAATGCAAAGCATGGACATTTGGGTCCCAAACAATAAGTCATTCGTTCAATCTCCCACCTTGGAATACAAATCTGAAGTCGGGTTACAGGCTATTTCAAAAGAACACATTTTTGAAGATAAAATTAAGCCTTCAACATCCTCCAGTGTAGAGGAAGTACTGGACCAGCTTTACAATATTCACAGCAATGCATGCTCCCTTTCTGAAGTTGATCCCATCAGGTGACTCCACACGGAGAGCAAGGCCAAAACCAGACAGCCACCAGAGCTCCCGAACACCGGCTCCCGTGAAAAGCATTTGGTTTTCAAGTTCCTTAACTGGCACTGAAAACGTGAGTACTAAAGCTAATCCTATGTTGGAACAATTATGAAGGACACATGAATAACAACGAGGGGTGGGGTAGAAACAGGGGTGGAGTGGGGAGGGCTCAGGGGGCAGGGAGGGGTGGGGGCAAGGGTGGAAAACTGTACTTGAACAACAATTAAAAAATGTCAATAAATAAAGTGAATCCTACGTTGATTCAGTACAGAAACTACTTTAGAATGACTCAAGAAAAAAGAAAGACAGGGAATGCTGTTACCGGAAGCGTGAAGAAAGCGGGGTGCTTTGCTTCGTCTTCATATTTGCCTTCAGTTGAGCTCCCGGCCTCCATGGATTTGGACGTAGTGTTCTTACCAATACCCATCATTAAGAGGAAATCGGTCGTTTGGTCGCTGGATTGGAGTGGCTGGAAGTGAAGGCTTGTTCAAGCAGGGAGCCCAGGATCAGAGTTGGCTTTTCCAGCACCTGGAGCACCTGATTCTCAGGCAGAGATGAGCCCCACAAGCACCATCTCTTAGCACCTAGGAAAAGAGAAAGCAGCCAAATCACCCCAAGCACGCAAACAACACAGGACCCATGGTCATCACATTTTCTGCATGGAAAAGTCAGAGTACAAGTTATACCCAAATTCCAAAATCATGCTGCTTAATTACTTTTTGAGTCCCTATCTCTTTGCACTTACAGTCACTCAGTGATTCTGAATACCCCCTGGAAAGGAGGACCATATCTCATCAAAAACATCAGAATACTAGGGATTAAAAAGTATGTATTTTTTGGACATGTATGATTCTATCTTATAGCCCAGTGCTATCCAATAAAACTCTGCAGTAATAGCAATGTTCTATACCTCCCTCGTCCAACCTAATTGTCACTTGCCACAAGTTACCAAGCATCTGAGATGTAAGAAAGAAATCGAACTTTTAATTGTGTCTAATTTTAATTTCAATTTCAATAGCTACCTGTGGCTAATAGCAACCACACTACACAGTGAAGTTACAGCAAATGTACTACTACACATGACTGGCTGGGTATTAAGATTCTAAATTCCCTTTTGGTGCCCAATTAAAGGCGGGGAAGGCACTCAAAGCACTAAAAAGAAACAAAACCAATCCAGGGTCCAGTGGCCACACAGAATTCCAGGTAGGTGGCCACTCTAATTCCTTAAAAAAAATTAGAATGCCACACAAAAAACAGCCAAAACATTAATAAAACAACAACATAAACATATAAAAGAAATCCAACCGCGCCCCACCCCCAGGCCCCTGCCTCTCCCCCTAAAAGAGGAGAGGCGTTTAGAAGGCAAGTGAGGAGGAAGGAGATCAACACCATTACATCCAAGATAGACCTGATGTGCTCAGAGTCTGGAATCACTTACCAAGGAAAAGTGCAATGCTTCCAGCTAAGAGAAAACCTAAACAAAAGTCAAAAGCAGGAAATTACTGAAATATATACCTCCAAGTTTTGGTGAAGAAGAAAATTAAAACCTCAATTTTAAACAACAGGAATATGTCTGGGGTAATAGAAAAGACCCGCCCAATGATTAACAAGCATTTGGAGAATTTGGCTTCAAAAACAAAAGGCACAAAAGATGCCTGCAAGGGTTGGCACTGTACAATAAAACGTGCTGAGGTGTGCCTACATTTTTATGAGGGGATAAAAACAGCACAGCAGGTGGGGGTGAGAGAGGACAGAGAACATTCACTGGCACTCTGTTTAGAATGATGTCAGTTCTTAGAACCAGTTAATTTCCCACTGAGAATGAATAAAGGCCAAGCTGCCCAGCAAATGTAAAGACGCTCCTACAAGAAGGTTAAAAATAGAGAAGCAGGAAACTTCCTCCTGTTCAAGTTCCGCTAAGTACACTTCATTCGACAAATACTTTGGATAAACCAGGAAAACTTGAAATATTAACAAATAAGAGAAAGAATTACACCAAATTTGAGAGTTCAATATTTAGAGCGTAAAAAGGAAAAATAAAATAGTTGCCAGAACATTAAGTTCTGCCTCAAGGCAACAGAGAAGTCGGGTGCACATTTTGGTTTAATGTCCATGCACATTGTACATTCTTGGTGATACCATATCCCTGTCTGTTTACAGCAGTGGCTCTCAACCAGGAGTGATTCTCCCTCCAGGGGACATTTAGCAGTGTCTGGACATTTAGCAGTGATATTTACTGTTCAAGGAACAATAAATAGGATAATTTTATATTCTTAGTTGTTTCCCTATAAATGGGAATAAACTGATGTACATGCATGTTAAATGGAAAAAATGGTTTTTTCCCACAACAAATAACTCACTGAAAATGCAGTCTATAATTTGTATTCGCTAGTTAGAAAGAAGGTCAAAGAAGTTGGCTGAAATTTGTGTAAGCAGTATTTCATAGTGTCAAAATTCGCAAAGCACATGAAACTGGAAGAAGGAAACCCTTGCCCAGACTCCTTGGAGGTCACCACTGTTCAGTTGTAAGCACTGCCTTCTGTACCACTGAAGAGTCCTTTCTCCATATTTTTATTAGATTTTTGTCCTGCTATTGCCCAAGTTAATACTTTACTTAGATATCAAATACAGCCAATGAACTTAAAACTGTTATTTCTTTGGGGAGGGAGGTGGTTAAACAGTATATTCAAAGTACCTAATACTGAAATGGAGAAAAAAATTTATGTAAAAAATAAATACTTTATATTGACATTAAAATGGAGAGGAGATTTAATGTTTTTAAAAACCTTTACATGAACTGAATAACCACCATGGAGAGAAATGCTATATTAAATATAAACCCCTTATTTCCCTCCTCCCTAAAAATGGCATCCCAAATGTGCCATGTAGGTCCTCAGCAAAAGATGACATCCCCCAAGGGAAACACGTGCCAGTTTAAGAAACGGGGACATGCATATCACCAAACAGAGCAAAGCCCATAAAGGAATGAGTCTGTGGGACTTACCCTGGTTTAGTGACTTTTTAAACAATTTTCCTATTTCAAGAACAGGGACAAGTGGATCACCATATTTTCTCCTTATCTTTTCTGCTGCATGTAGGGGATACGAAGACCCACATTACTATGCAGTTTTCGATATGCATAAAATAGAAGTGGGGACTTTCTACATTCAAAGGGGAAGTTATACACATCACTTACAAAAACCTGAAAGGCTCTCTACTTGTAGCCCTAACAGAGATGGTATATGTTTACTTAGAATGAACCATTTTCCTACATTTTTAATTAAAGTGTTTACAACAATTAAGAAAAAAAACTATCTACATCTTGATCTAGACACTGCCATTCAAAACCTCCCCACAGCTGGGGAGGGGAAAAATACAGCATGACAATGAACACAATACGTAAAAAGATCTGCCTGAAGCAGCCCCAACAGACCTTTACCTTCATAGCCAGGAGCTTATGTTTTCCAAAAGATATGTAAGGCAAAAAAGATAAGGCAACACTGCTGGGTTTTCACAAGACCACATGTCCTGCACGTCAGTCAGACACCAGCAAGCTCTTCGACCCATCCATCCCCATCACCTTTCCAATGCCAGCAGAGCTTTCCCACCCACACTTACCCAGGTTCACTCCAAGGGAATGAGGACTACTTAGCATAGAATACACTTTCCCAGATTCATTTTATCCTCATGCTTGTTTCAGTGTGGACATCCCTCCCCACTGGCCCCATCACCAGGCACAAAGGGTGACAAGTTCCATCCTGACAAGACTAGTTTCCACCAAGTAGTCTGCAGTGTTCTCTACCGGACAGTTAACCATCACAAGCTTTACTGGGAGGACCCACCCACCTTGCTTTGCCCATCTCTTACTCAGCAGCACCCACAGAGCGCCCTGAAAACCCAAATGAACACAAGAGGGGAGGAGACCCAAGAAAGTGCAGGGCAGGATGCTCTGAGAAAGGCCTGGGGCAGAGGACTACAATGCCTGGGAAAGATAAACAGCCTTGCTGGATAGACAGATGGAAGGAAGAAAAGAAAGCAGGGGAGAAGACAGTGAACAGTGAACAAATCTGGAAGTCCCAAAATGACAGAGCATTCCAAAAGCCGAGTACTCAGTAATGATGAAGACAACCTCAAGGGCAGAAACCACCCACTAACTAGAGATCAGAGTGTTTCATTCAGTCGGAACTTTTGTGTGGGGAAATGCCAAGGCTCAGGGGCAAGTACAGCAGAAAATAAAGAAGGAGAGAAGTGGAGTTCCCGGTGCTAGAATTTGTGTTAAAACAAAAGGCAAGATCCCCCAGGGAGACTGACACAGGGGGCAAGTCACTGATAACACCCTTTCACCCTCTTCTCACTCTTTGGGAAAGAAAAATAAGCAGGGTCACTGATACCTTGGCCCTAACCTTAAGGCAGATGGGAAAGGGGGGGGCTAAGGGATGAAAGGTCAGGTTCACCAAAAATGAAAATGAGGACACAAGAATAACAACAGTTTTCCAGCCAAGCAGATCTCTTCACTATCGTTATGCAAATAGATGATTTCTCCCTAGTAAGCACAGTGTTGCTTGATTTGCACACTAACTATCAAAGTGAAAACTGAGCTTCAGAGAAGTAACTTGGCCAAAGGATGCACAGCTGTAAGCAGTGAAAGACTCACACTTTAATCAGTATTCCTGTCTTAACAATGTTTATACAAACAGTACATGAAATTATGCTCAATTTACAGCCAACCTTCCTAGATGAATACAGCCCGGGCCAGCGGACCCGTGAGCACTGTCTCTGCCTGACCTGCTATGTGGTTAGTTCCTGCCTCCATGTGATTCTTGAGGGAGCTCCAAGGGGCCAGGTCTGCTAAAGCCCTCCCTCCTCAGACAGAGAGCTCCCAAATCTGTGCAGTCCGCTCATTCCACAGCACAAGCCATCATCTCATCAGCAGCACGACAGCCCCTTGTCATTTTCTTGTTCCGCCTTAATGGATCTACCACTTGCCCATAATGCTGCCAACACAACCAAGCTATAAAAACATCATGCCCTTTGATGGTGTCCTAGTTAGCCTGGGAATAGACATCCAAATTCCTAAGCAGGTCTACAGGGTCACTGTAGGAAGCTCAGCCCCACCACGCTGTCATTTCTGTCTTTCAGATTCTGAAGGTACTAGGTCCTCTTCTAACCCTCAGGCTCTTGCACACGCAGTCCCTCCCAAATAAGCACCCTTTCCCTTGGGGTAACTCCCATTAGTGCTTCTGTAACAGAGTGCAGCCAAGAGAGGGCCCCCGAAAAAGGGATTTGGAGTGGGGTCCAGAACTCAAGGTGTCCAGGAAATATTAGAAAGACATATAAGATGTCCTCACCCCTTACCCCCCCCCCCAGGTGTCAGTTGGGGGAAGGGACACATGGAGCAGGGCCATTGAGAGCTATTTTGCATCATAACAGCTTTCACAGCTAACCTCTGGCACGGTCATTTAACATATCTATAACCTTTAACTGGTTTCATAGATATGTTAAATAGCTGTGGCCATGCTTTGAGCCAGGGAGAAGGGAGTGACTTCCGCCCAGGATGTAATTGGGAGGCAACACTCCCTGGTTA